CTGACAACGAAACGTAGAGTGCCGCATCCATTTGAATCAAGGACTGCCCGGCACAGAAATGGAAAAATTATGCGTCAAATGCTTTGGCCTCTTAGTTCTATTTAGCCTCACACACAATACTTTGAAGTTCTGAAAAATTTGGCGGTGTTATGAGGCCCTCTTCCCAAAGCACTTACCCTATTTAAGACCAAAGTCTGCGATTTTTCTAACCTATTCAAGTTATGGCCTGACCCTTAAATTACTACCCTGTTTCAGACCTGCCGTAGTTCTCTATTTCAGAATTATGTTTAAGGTATTGTGAATGGCTTTAGTTGCTGGTCCTATCAATAATGATGAAAAAAGAAGCTTCTTCTAAAAAACGTACCTAATTCAAGACTAAAGTGCAAAAACCATACCCAGTTTGAAACCAAAATGACCAAAATCGATAGTCTACTTCTGACTAAAATGTCTTAAAAAAACATGTCCCTCTGATGCTGAACATACCATATAGCCGATATAAGGGAGCCCCCCCCCCCGCCCCTGCCCTAGGGCACAGTCAAAGTAAAGTATCACAAGTAAATCCATTTCGAAGCGCGCGCACTGTACTAACTGATACACGTGTAGACAACTTAAATTAATCAGCCCCTTCTCTTCTACAATAGGTTCAGTACTAAACATCACCTGGGCGAAAAACCCCAGGCACTGGCAACTGAACAGATCAGTGCGGTGCAAAGCGGCGCATTAGCAGATATCCCCCTCACCCCAGGACTTCTCATGCCCAACATATTAAAACCCCAGCCTTTTTCAGACTTTGAACACCTTTCCGTAAACGAAACACTATTTCTTTCTGAGAAATAGCTTCTTGTTTCAATTAAAGAAGCTTTGGTTATTGTTCAATGTAATTTTTCCTCTTTCCAGCAGAACTGTTTTTTAACGAAAAGAGTAATTCCATATCACCCCTAGGTTAGCTGATGTCAATCGTCAATTGAATCACGGGTTTGCTCATAGAGTACTTCGGTGTTATTTACGTGGGTGATTTCATTCTTATAACACATGTTTTGGAAACTGACAAGCTTATATAGGTCACATGACTAACACTCAATCTGGGGCCTAATTTTCTTTTTTCTTACATGAGGGCAGTAAACAGGCTTTGAGAGATATCACTATCTTACTGAAAACGCAGCCGAATAGCATGACTTTCTGTTAATGTTTATATTATACGTGTTTTACTTGCAGGAATTTTTATAACAGTGACACCAAGCTATGTTCTTGGACAAAGGTATTATTATGTGGATGACAACATTGCTGGTGAGTTGTTTTGCCGGCTGATTGGCTCTACGTATTTTCTGTTCGTGTTTGGAAAAGGTTCTACCTTGACGATAATGTGTCTAGCTATTGAACGGTGGTTTTCAGTTGTGAAACCAGTAAAGTACAAATACGCTTTCAAGAGAGGAAGGTTGCTGTTGTACATCGCCATTATATGGGCCTTCAGCTGCTTTACACAGATCAATGAACTCTTTATCATGAAAAATTCTCACGGGATCTGCGCACGAAGCTCTCCTCCTTACAGCGTGAAAACCGAAAAGATACTGACACTGTTGCACATCTTAGCGACTTTCTTTGTTCCAAGTATCGTTACTTGGGTTACATTTGCACATGTGTGGTTTCACGTACGTAGTACCATGGTTCATCATCGTACACGCTTGAGTAATTACGAGCGCGCCAAACAGAAGCTGATTCGCATGTGCGCTTTGACTGCACTTTTACTAACAGTTTGTTGGTTTCCGGCGGAAATGTTTTTCATTTTGAAAGAATTCAATGTTGTTACACTCTCCTTAAGCTTCTATCAATTCACTGACATGCTCGCAATGTCGAACTCTTGTTTCAATCCTTGGGTTTACTTTATATATAACCGAGAATACAGAAAAGCTTTCCTCAGCCTTGTTACAGTGAAAATGAGAAAGCAAGACAATCGAACGACTGCCTTTAACCTTTTGTCTACAGCAAAATCTCCTTCAGTGGTCCTTATACGACAAGTCAATATGCAGCCCGAACTCGGATCAAGAGAGATAAACGTCTACCTATGACACGTTAAACAGTACACCAAAACTATGTTACACAGGGACCAACCTCCCTTCTTAGGAATCCCCGTTGTAGTACCAGAAAATTTTCTGAGCCTTATTGTGCCATTAGAAATAGTACAAGCACTTCAGGAGTTGTCTGGTCATTAGGACCGTGGACTTGTCGGTCCTCATTCAACATTCCCATCAGCTAACTAACTTGAACAGAGCTTTAAGAAATTAATAAAAGTGACAAAAAGTATAAGATTTAGTATCACTGGTGATGTTCAAGGCTAGCATCCTATCCAGGGAGGGGAGAGGGACAAGCTCCGGCAAGTTAAGACACATAGCCCGATGTAGATTTCACCCTAATGTTGGATTTCAATGAGCTCACAGTGGTGTTTCATAATGGTAACCGTGGAGTTTATGAACCTCAGAGGGTGGGCAAGGTTTAAACACTAGAATGTTTTATACTATGTTAACCTGAACAGTTTTAAAAGCTCAGATATTTGTCAATTATCGGGGATGGACCTTTGGACTATATATTATGCATCGTCTA